CCCCGGGTTCTAATCCCAGTTGGGGCACAAGATTCTGTCCCGGTTGCTCCTCTTCCAGTCCAGCTCTCTGCTGTGGTCCGGGAAGGCAGTGGAGGATGGCTCAGGTGCTTGGGCCCTGCTCCCGCATAGGAGACCAGGAGGAAGCACCGGCTCCTGGCTTCAGATCGGCACAGCGTGCCGGCCGTGGCGGCCATTTGGGGGGTGAATCAACAGAAAAGGAAGACCTTTCTCTTTGTCTCTCTCTGTCTAACTCTGCCTGTCAAAAAAAAAAAAAAAAACAACTTTGATTTGCCTTGAGTGGGGGTCTCACAAGTAAAACAAGAAAGGACTCTAAAGTAGGTGCTATGGCATAGTTTAAGCCTCCTTTTGCAGTGTTGGTATCCCATATAATTCAAGTACTAGCTGCTCCATTCTGATCCAGCTAATTTCTAATGCTCCTGGGAAAGCAGCAGAAGATGGTACAAGTACTTGAGCCCTGGTATGCATGTGGGAGACCCAGAAGAAGCTCCTGGCTCTTGGCTTCAGCCTGGCTCAACTCCAGTTGTTATGGCCATTTGGAAAGTGAACAAGCAGATAAAAGATCTCTCCCTATCTTTCTCTCTCTCTCTCTCTCTCTCTCTTTCAAATAAATAAATCTTATAAATAAAAAAGAAATCTCTCCATTCAATAGAGTAGTCCATACAAATTATTGATTCTACAGATATTGGAGTAGCTGAGACATTTCAGTGAATAATGGTGAGGCAGCACAGGAAGCAGGAAGCTGCTGCCTCTTCCAGGCTAGGAGGACAAGAGAGGACCAGGGGCTATTCTTCCAGCAGAAGCTGTGGAGATTTGCTATGACGCTAATGAACTTCAATGCTCCTTCCCTGCATGGGTCTCTTCTAAGTCCCTGACTCTACATTTGTGCTCATCATTTAATATTCTTCGTCCTTAAAATGTCCCCCAAATTACATAAGCAAGCCTGACAAAATCTGGATCCACAATGAACCATGGAGGAAATATTACCACTGTTGGAGATGTTGTCCAGGACCAACAGAGATGGGGAGAAGTCCCTTGATGCTTCCCTTCTGCCTACCCTGCAATTTCCTGCCAGTCTTCTCATTAGGCAAACTCAGACAGAATCCAAATGGCATGGGAGCCTGGGAAATACACACTACTGGGCCAACCTTCCTGTTACAGAAAGTAGAGTAGAAGCAACAAGTATGTCTGAGAGCAAGCAAGGCAAGTACAGCCATCCCAGCCTCACTGGAGCTCCCCATTTGGTCCCAGCATAACGGCTGAATGGAAGTGTACAGAGAAATGTAAGGGTGTTACCAGGGAAAGGCTAACTGCTTCTCTTCTCCCAAGATGCCCTCTTGGGCAGCATTATTCTAGTGACATCTAGCATACCTACATCTGCCTCCCGGCCCTACAGACTTTGAAACTCAATCTTCTCATTTCTCCAGAGGCAGTCAGATTTGAGGAGACCAATTCAAACTAGCCACGCTTGTAGAAGCTCAAAGCATAAGCACAAAAATCAATATGCTAATTTATAAAAAGGAACATCAGGGGATCTCAAAATATTCATAGAAAATGGAATTAAAGTATAATTTTATCTCAATGAAAAAAATTGAAACCCATGCATTTTTTCACAATATGCATGTCCATGAACATTTTTATATGCAAAGCATAATTAATTTGCTAATTAATTAAATTTCATAAATACAACTTTAGGAACACAGTAATTCTTCCCACCATACCTGCCCTCCCACCCACACTCCTACCCCACTACCTCTTCCCTTTCCTGTTCCCAGTCTTGTTTTTTACTAAGATCTACTTCCATTTAACTTTACACACAGAAGATTAACTCTATTCTAGGTAAAGAGTTTAACATTTTGTATGAGGAAGAAAAAGAGAGAAAGAAAACAAAACATTAAAAAAAAATACACTGTTCTGCAATAATCCAGATAAGGGCTGTTCAAAGTCATTGCATCTCAAACACACTTTGGCTTAATCTCTCCATGAACTTTTTGAAGAACCCTCATATGCACTGATTTTAGAATTTCTTGCACCAAAATAAACTTACCCTTTAATTAATTTTTTTCATGAACTTTTTGAATCCCTTCATATTCCTAAGACATCATGGTGACATGCTTGTGTTAACAAAACCAGTTCAACTCTCTTACTCTCTACAGCACATAATTATTGAATGTTAACTGCCTAGCAGGTATTCTCAAGCAATTCAGATGAGTAAAACCCAACCCTTGCCCCCTAGGGGCCAATAATGAAATTATAGTAACTTTATGGAAAAAATTAGAATCCTTATTGAGCATGGCCCCACAGACAGGCAACTTAATGTGATTTGAATGTTTAATAGTATCAGGCACAGACAGATTCAGGTGTCTACCAGTGACACAGACCTAGCAGGAAGATTACAAACAGCTATTTGTCAGGGCACAGCTGTCCCTGCACAGAGCTCAAGTGTGTCTCCCTGACTCAGTTTTATGGTGTCCCACACTGACTGCCACTTTTTCTATCAGATGGGCACATGTAGGCTATGCCGCCCATTTGGTTATCACCAAGCCCAACAGGCCTGGGAGCCATATTCACATCAGGCAGGGCTGCTGAACCATTATTGGCTTTTGTGAATTTCATGAAAGCTTCCAACTCTCTCCAAAATCCTTTTGCACTGACCTTCAGACAATTTTTTACATCATTGCCTCCAGTTGTTTCTCTGTCCAAAACATCGTTTCTCAAGTTCAACACTACAGTCACTTTGGGTTGGCTAATTCTTTGTTGTGAAGGTCTGTCCCCTGGCCCTCAGAATGTTTAGCAGCATCCCTGGCCTCAACAACTCAGATCCCAGCAGCCCACCTCACTACCAGCACTAATTGTGGCAATCTAAAATGTCTCTAGATATTACTAATGGTCCCCTAGGGTTGGCAAAACGTCCCCAGTTAATAGTATCTGCTCCAAAGAGACATTGGCTACTTCTAGTCTTTTTTTTTTTTTTTTGTTTTGTTTTGTTTTGTTTTGTTTTTTACAGGCAGAGTGGACAGTGAGAGAGAGAGACAAAGAGAAAGGTCTTCCTTTGCCATTGGTTCACCTTCCAATGGCCGCCATGGCCTGCGCGCTGCAGCCGGCGCACCACGCCTATCTGAAGGCAGGAGCCAGGTACTTATCCTGGTCTCCCATGGGGTGCAGGGCCCAAGCACTTGGGCCATCCTCCACTGCACTCCCTGGCCACAGCAGAGAGCTGGCCTGGAAGAGGGGCAACTGGGACAGAATCGGGCGCCCCGGCTGGGACTAGAACCTGGTGTGCTGGCGCCGCAAGGCAGAAGATTAGCCTAGTGAGCCGCAGCGCCAGCCCTACTTCTAGTCTTACTACACAGAATGCCCAGCGTTACAAGTCACCAGGTAGCCTGCCCCTAGCCTGCCCTGGTTTGGCTATCAGCCTCTTCAGTAGATGCGTTAGCTTCAAAAGAATAATGATGAAAAGTTTCTGTGTTCTGAGTTCACCCAAGTATAAAATGAATGGCTGCATATGGATCGGAGTTGAAAGGGAACTTGAAAATATGTGTTCAGGTGATTGAACAGAGTTGAGGGATTTTAAGGTTTTTTTGGTTTTGTTTTTGCTTGCTGTTGCTGTTATCTTTTGTGTTGTCTGTTTATTTATTTGCATCACTGAAGAGGAAAAAAACTATCACCACTAGAGTGCATCTGTTCAAAAAACATAAGGCGATGGCACCCATCAGTGGCTACCTGCGAGACTACCTGAAGCTGCCTATATCACAAACCATCAGAGCAGTCCCTCACTTTGCATCACTTTGGGTCACTCCCAAAGGCTTAGAGACTTTCAACCCATGCCGAAGAGGCAATGAGGTGTCAATCCACCCCATCGCCCCCAAACGCATCCTGAGCATTTGCACTGGGCTGTGCACTGTGCTTTAGGTGTATGAAGTCAGTTAAACATCACAAGCAGCTAAAAAAGCAGGTATAATTGTCTCCCACTTTAAGGGGAAAGCATGGAGCACCTGAGAGGTTTAGTAAGTAGCTCATTGTCACACAGTCAGGAAAGGATAGTTGTATGTAAAACTCAGCCCCTCTGACACCAAGACCAGTGTTCTTTTCCTGTCCCTCTCGTGTGTCTGGTTCCACTGCAAATTTTTACTAGGATTATTCAAGACAAGAAGAAATAGTCTCTGTGACATGTCTGAAAATCTAGGAAAACTGATCAACTCTTCCACTTCCATGGGGGAACACATCAAAACAGATATTTTACATCAAACCAACGTTACTCTGGATCAACAGATTTTTTTTTTAGAATACATGAGCCCATTTAGAGCAGCATTTGGCTGTCATCTTTGAATTCTCAGAGTTTTCCTATAATACAGGCAGCTACATGCTGGGTTGAGGGTAAGGCAGAAGCCCAAGAATTCTACTTGGAGGGCTTTCCCCACCAACTCCTCATCAGCAACTACAGGTCGCTGGCTCTGAGCAGGAAAACATTCATTAGCCTTTAGTTATCCAAGGAAACCAGAAGCCTCCTCCTTCTGCCCACACAACTCCAGGGGAAGTCTGGGACAGGGCTGGAGAGACCAGATTGATGGGGCTAGTCCAAAACACAAATAATGTATTTCCTCCAAAATATAAAAACAACACTTGAAGCCAGGGTGTAATAACAGGTTTTCCCAATACAGTTGTGTTCAGAGAGAGTTACAATGGTCCCCTGATTATACTTCTAAGAATATAAAGTCTAGGTTTCTTCCTTCCTTTCTTCTCTTCCCTTTCTTCCTTCTTTCCTACTCCAAGAATCACATCCTGACCTCCTCCTTTGCAACTCCTGTGCTGGGACCTGGAGACACTGAGAGGAACAGAACTCAGATCCTGCCCCTCAGTTAAGTCTAGAGAAGGACACTGGATAACAAACAATCGCAAGAGAACGTGAAAGGCACATGAAGTGAGTTGCACCATTTCCCCTTCAAAGCTATGGTAATCCAAGTAATATGCAGAAATCACTCACTTGCTTGAAATTTTGGGAATCGGAGTCAAAAGAGGCATCGTGGAAGGAATGACACTGGTGCATCACACCGCTATTCTGGGTCTCAGAACTCATTAGGAAAGCATGCCTTTGATGGGATCCTTGAATTCTCACGGCATGAAATCCTGAAAAAAAGAAACAAGAACAAAGCTATTTCTTTCTCCCTTAGAGATAGAGACAGGAGGCATGAAGATCATGGTTCATCAATGTTGCTTTTCTTATTCTTCATTAAATTCATGAAAATTTGAATCTTATCGTGACTTATTTTTCAAATAATACTTCTGCATACCTTATCTAATTTTGCCTCCCAACAGCCCTCTGAGGTAGACATCAGGATCCCCGCTGCACAGGGAGAAGGTGGAAGCTCAAAGAGGTCAGTGGCTATCTCACAGGCTCACAGCTAGCAGAGAATGGGTCAAGTCCACCTCTGTCTGCCTGTGTCCTCCTCTGCAAAAGACAGTGCCTCTGTGCATGCCATGTGTCCTGGGAAAACCAACAATGTTATTCAACTGCAGACACCCCTGCATCACACATGGAGTGGAAGGTGTGTGCAGGAGACTCCCAGGTGCTGGAAAGAGAGTAAAGTGAGTTTTAATGGAAAAGATTGTTCTACTTATAGCGGCTCCCCCCAAAAAAGTGATTCACTATTCAGGCCTGACATGTTTTAAGAGACAGACATGCCTGTAAATTTGGCCAGACTCGTGGGTGCCAGATGGTAATTGACAAAGACCCTAAGGCTTGACGATCAAGCCAGGACTTCCTCATGTTCCTCACTGGCTCTCCAGGGGCCAAGCACAGTGCATAATTAAGTTGGATGGCCGCAGGAGGGAAGAGATGGGTCGTGTTCCCTATGGAGAGGCTTTCTTCTTGGCAAGACATGGAATGACACACTTCAGGCAACAGGAAGATCATTTCCATAAAGTCGGAGGGGAGGGAGGGAAATGGTGAAGTTACTGAAAGACAAACAAAGCCCAAATACCATAAACAGAGTATGGAGTTCCCAACCAGAGGCACAATTATCTCTTACCTCAAACTTGGACCGGACTCAAGGGAGCATTACAAGAGATTTTCTCATGCACATGAGTAATTGCCCCACTCATTAAAATGTTATAGATGAGCCTGACTTGGAAACTAGCAAAGTGCAAATTCCAATGCAGGACCCAGAAAAGGCTTAAAGGGCCCCCAAGAAGTCCTAGCAGAGAGCTTCAAGGCAGCACAGCAATCTCCTAGAAGGCAAATAATGACCCTAGTGAGAAGAAAGATCCAATGAGAAAGAGGTATCACCCAATATGAACCTCAGATTGCACATCATACAAACAGAGATTATGTAAGTCTAAAAATCGTGTGGAAAAACGCTTTTTTCAATCCCACCATTCAACCACTGAGGATTCTTCCTTTTTGAATCAAAGTCGGTACCTGTTAAGAAAAAAACTGATGGTACTGATAGCAATACAACTTAATAAATGTGTGATTCATGTGGAATGCAATGGCCTGACAAAGAACCACACGATATCCTTAATCCACAAGCTTCGGGGTGCCATCCTTCCATCACAGGTGCTTTCATAACATCCTGAGGATGCTGAGCTACCCATGAAGAGATCAGATAGGATTTTTAGGTCTTAGAGAGACTAGTCCAGCACTTCAGTGGATCATTCCTGAGCTGACTGTGGAATTCAAGATAATCAGATCTGGCACTATAATTCTGCATATCATCCTGAAAGTGTTGTGACTGACTGATAACAGTAATGTTCACTAAGATAAAGAATTCAGGAGAAAGGAACGTGGATAGAGGGGAAAAACAGATAATTGTATAGAAGACCTGCCGAGCTTAAAACCTATGGGACGTTTCCAAGTGGTGTATATCCCAAAGACAATTGATTACCAACGTTCCAAATAGCAGAAATAAAAAGAAAACATTCAAGAATTAGAGATGATTCTTACTTCTCTTTGCTTTCGTATGTGAAATGTGTCACTTGATTCGTGCTTCTTTATTGTGGTTAATGCCATTTGTCATCAGATGTGGTAAGTGTACACTCCTCTTTACTACAATAGAAAGGTTTTGAGTTGGGACAAGCATTCTCTCTGGAAAAGATTAGGCATCCAACACACTCAGACTTGTCTTATTCTCAAAGGGCTGAGCAGGCAAATATTATAGAGAGAGAGAGCTTATTCCATGAGATTTGGTGAGAGAAAGAGTATCCTTCCAATAACTTTACAAGAAGGACCAATGATCTTGATTGATTATTATGACCCATTTGAAAGTATACTGAGTACACTATGACAACCCTTGAAATATAACAACATCCTTACAGGTGATACATCATTTCAGGTCATTGTTAGTTCTATTTTGTTCTTTACAGTTTTTTTTCTGATTACAAATTAATGTATGCCCATTGTAGTATGTCTGGGAAGTATAAACAGATTAATGAGAAAAAAATTAACTTCAACTATTCCAGATATATTCATTGTTTAATAATTGGCTATATCCGCCAGCACCATGGCTCACTTGGCTAATCCTCCGCCTGCAGCGCCGGCACCCCAGGTTCTAGTCCTGGTTGGGGAGCCAGATTCTGTCCCGGTTGCTCCTCTTCCAGTCCAGCTCTCTGCTGTGGCCCGGGAAGGCAGTGGAGGATGGCCCAAGTGCTTGGGCCCTGCACCAGCATGGGAGACCAGGAGGAAGCACCTGGCTCCTGGCTTCGGATGGGCGCAGCGCACTGGCCATAGTGGCCATCTGGGGGGGGTGAACCAATGGAAAAGGAAGACCTTTCTCTCTGTCTCTCTCTCTCTAACTCTGCCTGTCAAAAAATAATAATTGGCTACATTGTATTTCTCCTTATTTCTACTTACTGTAGATTATTTTTGGGGTATCATACCATTCTATATATACCACTTTGTACTTTTTCTAGTTAGCATTATATATTGAACATTATTCCATGACATTAAATGCTTTAATAATATTATTTTTATTGAGTGATTGAAATCTTATGATGTTAATATACCATAATCAACCAATCCTCCATCAGTAGATATTTAATTGTTTCCATTTTTGTTATTATATGAAAAAAATCTTAGACTTAAATCTGGCTGGGCCCATAAATTGGTTAGACACAGACAGATATGCACATGAAGGAGTTTTTTGACATATTTCAGGGGCCAGTGCTATGGCATAGCAAGTAAGGCCACCACCTATAGTGTTGGCATCCTATATAGATACTTGCTTGAGTCCCAGCTGCTCCACTTTTGATCCATCTCCCTGCTAATGTGCCTGGGAAAGCAGTAGAACTTGGCCGAAGTTCTTGGGCCCCTGCACCCAAGTGGGAGACCTGAAGAAGTTCCTGGCTCCTAGTTTTGGATCTGCTCAGCTCTGGCCATTGTGGCCATTTGGGGAGTGAACCAACAGCTAGAAGATCTCTCTCTCTCTCTCTCTCTCTCTCTAACTCTGCCTTTTAAATAAATAAATATATCTTTTTTAAAAAAGAAAAACATATTTCAAAGGTTTGGGGCTATAAAGAAAACTAGCAGGGATGTTGAGGAAAAAGGGGTTAGAGCCAGAAACAGTGAGGAAGTCACCAGCAGCCAGACATGATGCAGCCCAGGGAAGGGTGGTTGTCAGAAGCCAGAAGAAGAGGTTACCTGACAGAGACATGCTTTGGATGAAAAAGGTAACCACTCCCAAACCATGGCCCAGCAGAGAGGGAGCCAGAGAAAGACACATCCTAAAGTCTTTTCCCATGGCTCTCTGACTGCCATGGCTTCCCATTGGCCATACCCACCAGAAGACAGAGGGCATGGGGCTGGGTTGATGTGGGCCATTGTGTTCAATCTCTCTGTGTACAGAGGAGATGGAGACCATGCAAAAACTATACATACAAGGCCGGCACCGCAGCTCACTTGGCTAATCCTCTGCCTTGTGGCGCCGGCACACTGGGTTCTAGTCCCGGTCAGGGCGCCAGATTCTGTCCTGGTTGCCCCTCTTCCAGGCCAGCTCTCTGCTGTGGCCAGGGAGTGCAGTGGAGGATGGCCCAAGTACTTGGGCCCTGCACCCCATGGGAGACCAGGATAAACACCTGGCTCCTGCCTTCGGATAGGCGCGATGTGCCGGCCGCAGCGCGCCAGCCACAGCGGCCATTGGAGGGTGAACCAATGGCAAAGGAAGACCTTTCTCTCTGTCTCTCTCTCTCACTGTCCACCCTTCCTGTCCAAAAAAAAAAAAAAAAAAAAAAAAAAAAAAAAAAAAAAAAACAAAAACCTATACATAGAGATGAATGGAGAATATCCAGTCAACATCTTTGCCCATACCCTTTCTAAGTTACAGACGAAAATGAACATTGTGAAGATTTAGACTACCTATTATGTGGCTAGTGTCTCTGAAGTCTCCCCATATTAACTCCAGATGAGTGCAAAGCAGTACAGCTTGCATAGGTATATTTGTGACAAATCTAGGATTGGGTCATCCTCTCCTCCAAAACTTAATCTGCAGCAACCACTGAAAAGTCTTCCAGTTCCCGGTCCCTGAGCCAGTGTTGAACAGGGTAGCCAGTCTATTAGCATACTCAGGAAGTTCAGGCATTAGGCTTGCTGTGCAGGCCAATTATACATTGTACCTACAAGGTGATCTCTATCACAATTATTACACAATTATTAAACCTATATGATTGAGCTTCCTCCCTGGTTCCCAATTTGGGGCCTTTACTCACTCTTATAGAGAGGAATCTTGCTCTTTTTTTTTATTATTTGACAGGTAGAGTTACACACAGTGAGTGAGAGGGAGGGAGGGAAGGAGGGAGGGAGGGAGAAAGGTCTTCCTTCTGTTGGTTTACTCCCCAAATGGCCGCCATGGCTGGTGCTGCACCAATCCGAAGCCAGGAGCCAGGTGCTTCCTCCTGGTCTCCCACGTGGGTGCAGGGGCCCAAGCACTTGGGCCATCCTCCACTGCCCTCCCGGGTCACAGCAGAGAGTTGGACTGGAAGAGGAGCAACCAGGAGTAGAACCCAGTGCCGATGTGGGATGCCAGCACCACAGGTGGAGGATTAACCTAGTGAGCCACAGCACCGACCCCAAGGAATCTTGCTCTTAAAACAAGCAAGTGGTCTGAGGCCTTGACACTTTGCCTAGTTTTGACCTG